CCTGTCGGGAGCCCCCTCCCTATTAAATACCCTCCCTCCACCCTGTCGGGAGCCCCCTCCCTATTAAATACCCTCGCTCCACCCTGTCAGGAGCCCCGTCCCTATTAAATACCCTCCCTCCACCCTGTCGGGAGCCCCGTCCCTATTAAATACCCTCCCTCCACCATGCTATCTTCACTGCTTTGATTAAAATGGAGAAAAGGCAGGGTGGGTGGGGGGGGACTGCTATCAAGTGGCAGTAGTGCTTTGTTGCTTAACTATATTTCTTAAACAGGACCTTAACAGTTCAATTCCAATCTGATTTACTTTTTTTTAAAAAGTCTCTTGACAAAAGCCTTGCCACCATTCCACAAAACGCCTCCTACCGCTGGCGCCTGTCCCATCCCTCTACGCAGTAGGTCACACTGGAGCAACCTTTGAACGTCTCCCATCACGCAGTCTTCACGCTGGACCTGCCAAACCGTACGCCAGTCAGGCCCTGTTTCTCCACCCCTCCTGTTACCCATGACCCCCGGCCCACACAGTGGAGTGTTTATCCTCTGCGGGCTGCCTGGGTGAGAAGGTCCAGCTGTGTTTGCAGCCCATTAATTCTCTGGGCTGAGAATCTGAGCAAGCTGCTTGTGGCGTTGCAGATTTGGCGCGGGGAAAACGTGGCTGGATCTGCTTCAACGTGCGAGACTCCGTTCCCTTCCACCCAGTTCGCAGTCCAGCCCTGTTATATGCCCGGCTGCAGTGCAAACCCAGAATCTCTTGGTTTTGTAAAAGATGTTGCAGATTCCTCAGCATTCCCTGGCAGAGCAGCCGTAGGCTGGGAATTCTCAAGGCTGTGGTACACTTGATTGTTCCAACAATGTTTGGCCAACTGCAGGGGACAGCTTTCAACCTCGAGCTGTTTTAAATCTCTGTTTTATTGGCTGGTAAGAGAGTATTTTCTTTTGGTCTTTAAAGTGCGCTTGGGCTAATTAATCTGTGCCAGTTAGAGAGTGCCGACCTTAAATTAAAAACAGAGCCCGTTCTGATGAAGGTTACACCCGGCATGTCGTTCCTGTCCTGTCTGTGTAGAAAATTCTGCTCGTAATTCCAACAGACAGACACATACCATCTTTTGTCTCACAGTTGGTGGCCTTATTGGTATAGAACTATTGCTCACCTCTTAGGGAATAAATGATCATTTTTTCGCGAATCTGATTTGCACTAAAGTTCACTTCCACAGCTGCCTCAACCAATTGTTCAATACGACTCTCACTATTAGCCTGGGCAGGCTATTCCTCGGGTGGGCATTATAGCAGTGCCCAATCCTACCCTCCCATAGATACATTCTGTAATGCTTTCTGACTAATGATACGGGGACAGAGAGAGAGACCTCTGACCTGCGGTCTTCTTTGTCTCAGTGAGATGCTATTGGCATTGACTGACTTGGTAGCCGGACTGAAAGAAGGGTAAGTGGGGTCAAAATGCGCACCGCGCTTGTTTGTTGGTTTTTGTGTACAGGACCCCACCACACCAGCCTTTTTATTGACGCTTTTGTGGAATGTGGATGTCGCTGGCTAGGCTAGCATTTCTCACCCATCCTGCCTTGCTCTCGAGAAGGTAATTTTGAGCCACCACCTTCAGCCAACATAGTCTGTGTATTGTAGGTCTACCCACAGTATTGTTATGAAGCAAGTTCCAAGATTTTGACCACCGAAGGTACAGCGATATATTTCCAAGTCAGGATGGTGAGCCACTTGGAGCAAAGATGGCAGATGATGCTGTTCCCATGTGTTCGCTGCCTTTTGTTGTCTAGGTGTGTTTGGAAGGTGTAGTGAATGGCTCACAGTGACGTAACTCCACAAAGGCTGATAACTATTATCAAGTCACCCTTTATTTACACATGAACTGTCCTTGCATTTAGTGCTGCCTCATTCAGAGTCTGCTGTCAGAATGGCAGCATTTCTGACACTCTACCTTTTTACAGGTCAGCCAGGGCTCCCTGATTGGACCAGGTTAATAGCCCCGAACTCATCGCAATCCTGCCTGCGACTCTCCCATGGTGCATTAACAGTGCAGGGGATTAATGTTTTTAAAGCTGATCGATGGGGCACCAATCAAACAGCTTTGTTCTGGATGGGGCAATTGTTGGGGCTGCGCACATTCAGGAAAGTGGGGAAGTGTTCCAACACCCTCCTGACTTGTCCCTTTATAGATGGGGGACAGGCTTTGGAGAGTCGGGAGGTGAGTTACTCACTGCAGTATTCCCAGAATCTAAACTTGTTCTTCTAGCTGTAGTATTTATCTGGCTCATCTCAGTTCACGTTGTGGTCATTGGTGAGCCCCAGGGTGTTTGAGAGTGGGTCAGCGTGTTACGCTGACTTCAAAGAAAAGAGATATTGGAGCCAGTGCTTTGCACAGTTCGTTCTAATTTTTCCTTTCAGCTGAATGTAGATGCTCGTCTTTGTTTTTATTTTAATTTGAAGTTTTTCTTGTGCCTCAGGCCGTGGAGTACAACATCTTCGAAGGGACGGAGTTGTGCGGAGCTCCTGTTGTCGTCATTAGTCAGGGGAAGATTGTGCTCGAAGATGGGAATCTCCATGTCACCCCAGGAAGTGGCCGCTTCATACCCTGCAAGCCCTTTTCGGACTTTGTACACAAGCGCATCAAGGCACGGAAACAGGTGAGGCATCCTGTGTGTGAATCTGTAGCTTTTTAATAATTCCCGTTATCAGGTTCGGTTTCACCAGTGCCCTGTGGAAGTGCCTGTGGATGATTTTAACCAAGTTCAACACACCGCCCAAACAATAGTGAATCCCCTTGGATTTATGTATAAAGGGGAATGGCCAGATTGGGAGGTTGTCGCTCAGCAGCATAATAGGATAGGTCTTATCTTTCCAAACCTGTATTGAGCCTGGATCAACTTAGAGTTGATTGAAGGTAATATTGGGAGAGTGTTGGTTGATGCATTTAGTAAGTGACAGAAGAGTTCCAAGATTTAAAAGATATTTGGACAGGTACATGAATGGAAACTTAGAAAATACGTGCAGGGCTGGGCCATTCAGCCCTTCGAGCCTGTACCGCCATTCTATATGACCATGGCTGATCGTGCAGTATCCCACTCCCACTTTCTCTCCATATCCCCTTCATCCCTTTAGCTGGAAGGGCCACGACCAGCTCCCTCTTGAATATAGCTAACAAACTGGTCCTAACATCTTTCTGTTCGCAGATCTCTGAGTGAAGAAATGTTTCCTCATCTCAGTCCTGAATGGCTTATTCCTTATTCTTAGACTGTGATCCCTGGCTCTGGACTTCCCCAACATCGGTAACATTCTTCCCACATCTAGCCTGTCCAGTCCCATCTGGATTTTATGTGTTTCTATGAGATCCCCCCACCTCATTCCTCTGAATTCCAGTGAGTACAAGCCCAGTCGGCCCAGTCTTTCTTCAGATGTCAGTCCTTACCATCCCGCGAATCAGTCTGGTGAACCTTCACTGGAAGTGGGGAGAGTTTAGAGGGACGTGAGCCAACTGCAGGCAAATGGGACTAGTTTAGTTTGGGGAAACCTGGTTGGCACTGACATGTTGGACCAAAAGGGTCTGTCTCCCTGCTGTACGACTCTATAATTTCCATTCCCTCCACCGTGGTTTCCCCAAATGGTGACCCCCACAACTGCTGCCCTCTGGGAATTTCATTGGCTCCTTATAAAATCTGCTGTAGCTTTGACTTTACCGGCAGAAATCATGAAGCAAGTTTTTCTCTAAATTGACGCCTGACCAGGGAGCCTGTCCGTTCAGCTGGCTGGATGGCAATGTGGAATGACACTAACAACGTGGGTTTAATTCCTGCAACTGGCTGAGGTTACCACGAAGGACTCTCCTTCTCATCCTTTCCCCTCACCTGAGGTATGATGACCCTCTGGTTAAACCACCACCAGTTGCCTCCCTGTAAGCCCTCTGGGACTATGGTGACTTCAGCTTTATTTGTAAAGAATTCTTAATTGATTTGTGAAGCAGTGCCATTTCCCAACAACATGATGCCTTCTGAGAACTGCCGCTGTACCTCTAGTAGAGGAAGCAGGTCAAGGGTAGGTTTGATCTGGTGCTGGACCATTATATCAGAGCTAGATGGGGGGAGGAGCAGAAGGCAAAAGAGGATATATTGAACGTGCTCCTCATCTCTCTTCCTGGCTGTCAAAATTTGCAAGTAAAGTAGGGCATACAAGCGCTGAAATGTCACAAGATGACTTCTGTGAAGACAACGCACCAGAGCCTGTGTCTGCCCTGAGTTGGGATTGTCAGTGAAGAGTTATTTGGAAGGGTCATCACATAAACTTTCAACTGCGCCAACTGTGGGCTGCTCAGCGTACCCACCCACAAATGCCCCGAGTATTCTCAAGATTGTGGAGAGAAACTGCCCAGAAATGACTGGCCTAACCCCCAGCTCCTGGTATTCATGCGAGGCTGGAAAATATCAACACATGGTATTTTAATTTGGCAAACTCCACTCAATCTACCATAACAAAGCCTAGCCTCGGGCGAGGACAGGACAATGTTGAGGGTGAAAAATTAGAACCAGGCCTTTGAGGAATGAAGTTGGGAAATGCTTCTCCAAGCAGAAGGCTGGTGGAAGTTTGCAAATTTTGCCTGCAAACGGCAATTGATGAAAGATCGATTGTTCATTTCAAAACCGAGTGAGCGCTTTCTGTCAAATATAGGGCATGAGAGAAATGCGAGCAACACTTAGTTGGTTCGCAGATTGGCCTTAATCACATTGAATGACCCTGTATCCCTCACTCTGTCTAAGCACCCTATCATCTGTATGTCCTTGTTTGCTATGATCTGCCTGCACTGCTTGCAAAACAAAGCTTTTCACTGTACTTAGGTATATGTGACTTAAGTAAATCAATCAATCAAATGGCTTCATCCCATGGCCCTTTGATTACAAGCCGATGACATTTCCTTAACTTCATTTCCTAAAGAGATGACAATCAGAATTTCTAGGTCACTTGCGAGTGCATGCCCCAAACAGAATTGTGAATTTTTGTGAATTTTGTGAAATGTTGTGAATTTTTTCGAGCGTCAGAATTGTTACCCATCGCATTTGGCTCTCATTTCTTGCATAACTCCCCCTGCTGTACGTCAGGAAGGGATTATGACATTGACGGACAGTGCAGGAGATGGTGAGAGCCAATTTTCTGCTGCTTCTAACCCTCTGCAAACCCCCGTCCCCCCAGTGCAACTCTGAAACGCAGCTGACAACAGTGAGAAGGGGAGCTTTGTGTGCGCGTGTCTTACATTTTTACTTGCACTCCCCTCCCTGCACTGATACTGTGGGGCTCCATGTATCTCCAACCTCCTTTGTGTTTGTGCGAGGGATCAAGAAAGATAAACAATGTCAAAAAGAATAACCAGTACAATGAACACCTATGTCCAAATCTGGACTAATCCCCCATTGCGTGCTCACTTCTTCACCAGTTAATTCCACTCACTGAAGGCTGTTTCAGCTGTAACTTTCTTCCTGAAAATTAGTTCAGTTGCTGCAGGGGCCTCTGTGCTGTGCATTGGTGGAAGTGACTGAAAGTTTGAAGTCCTGTTATATTTTTGAACCATTTGAACGAAAGCTTCATAAACTATTTCATAATTCGGAGATTAAAACTGTTTCACTTTATTTGTAAGGAACCGCAGAATGTGAGATCCCCAGCTTAAAGAGTGTGCACACTGGGCCCAGAGACTCCCCCTCCGCACCCCCCACCCCCTTCCTGTAACATTCAAAGCTGATTTACTGAGAAATAACACAGCGTGGAGCCGGAGGAACACAGCAGGCCAGGCAGCATCTGAGGAGCAGGAAAGCTGACGTTTCGGGTCGGGACCCTTCTACAGAAATGAAATGGGCTAAATGGTCTCTTTCTGCGCCGTAGGGATGCCATGATTCAAAAGAAATTTCTGAAGAAGAGTCCTGACCCGAAACGTCAGCTTTCCTGCTCCTCTGATGCTGCCTGGCCTGCTGCGTTCCTCCAGCTCCTCACTGTGTTATCTCTGACTCCAGCATCGGCAGTTCTTACTATCTCTAATTAGTAAGAAAGTCTTGTTGAACAGCCTTCGTTTGTGAAGCCTGATATCGTAACACAGGGACATGAGGAAACCATCAAAGTCTTTGGGCATGTTGCATCATTCAATGAGAGTGTGACTGATGTGTGACCTCAATCAATCCAAATAAATGAATCTGCTCTGCATTGATTTACTGACTATTCCTGATGGACAAAAGTCAATCCATCTCAAGCGTTAACAATTCGACTCTTATTCCCTGGCTATTCTGAGATGGTCGTTAGAGTATAATTTTAATTACGCCAAAAATAGTCAACTGACCAAGGGCAGACAGAAGGAATTAGTTTAATCTGGCATCATGTTCAGCACAACATTGTGGGCCGAAGGGCCTGTTCCTGTGCTGTATCGTTCTATATTCTAACCATGATCCACACTCGAAGCAGTTAGCACTCGGTGGTTAGCAATGCTGCCTCACAGCGCCAGGGACTCAGGTTTGATTCCACCCTCGATCGACTGTGTGTGTGGAGTTTGCACTTTCTCCTCGTATCTGCGTGGGTTTCCCCCGGGTGCTCCGGTTTCCTCCCACAGTCTAAAGATGTGCAGGTTAGGTGGATTGGCCAGGCTAAACTCGCCCATAGTGTCCAGGGGATGTGCAAGCAAGGTGGGTTAGCCATGAGAAATGTAGGGTTACGGGGATAGGGCCGGGGGAACTGAGTCTGTTTGGGATACTGTTCATAGGATCGGTGAGTTTTGATGGGCTGAATGGCCTCTTTCTGCGCTGTAGGGATGCCATGATTCAAAAGAAATGTTGATCCATCATCAGTTACGGTTTGCAGAAGGGATTTTTAAACTGTCTTGCATGTGGAAGGGTTTTCTAAACATACCCCAGGATTACCTGCATCTAATTTTTAGGTAGTTCTTCCAGGGACAATCAGGAATTGTTTCTTGTTATCTCTCCTGCCTGTGTTTCCGAATATCTGGAAAATGCTGATTGAATCACAACCTTGTCCTTCAAAATTGCTGGAATGCAACATTTGCTCGCGTGATTTAATTCGGATAAAGCAGGTACCATTTTGATATCACACCAGACAGTTTGCTCTCCAGAAAACAATGTGCAGGATTACAAAGAAAAGGACCATACAGCATTAATTCCTGTGGTAAACATGGAGTACTGCACAAGTCGATAGAAATGTGTACTGATTGGAATGAGATTGACCAGATGGATCTCATTGAGTATGAGTTCCCTGATTGGGGCTGTTAACCCGGGCCAATCAGGGAGTCCTGGCTGACAGACTCCGAGATCCTCCTCAATCTAGGAACTGGCTCTCAAATCCATGTACTGTGCATGTGGAAATAACGGGTGACTTGGTGACGAGATACCGGCCTCTTGTAGAGTTATTTCAATACGATAAACTCCTGCAGGCCCAGGTTCTGGATTCCAGGTTGGACTGGTGAGTTTTAATGTGTGGCCCAGGCTATGTTGCCTCCTGCCAGGTGATAATCCTGTGTCTGTCCTGCTCTGTCAGCTACTATGCTGTAACTGTTTGACCTGTTCCCATCTGGATTGTGTTATGTGTTGTTCCAAGTGCGTTGCTGCATGTTTGACATGTTTCAGCCTATAAACTGTACCGTGTGACACATCCTGCC